TTAGGAATGATTAAAGGTGGGATTTTAGTGCCATCCAGACGAATTGCCAAAATACAGGAAACACATGCACTTTCATAAGCAGTGGAGGGAATGTACACTAAGGAGGCACCCCACTGTTCAATTGTTGTTTGAGATGATTGGTCCATAAACACTGCAGTTTCATCCATAGCCATCATGTTGGAAAGATTGTATTTAGAGAAGTCAGCATCATCAATAAAGGACTTGAATGCAAGTGCTCAGTTAATAATTTGAGTATCTTCCAACCTAAACAATGTTGTAAATCTTCTTAAAGACAGTTCACTTTGCTGAAGGAAATTATCCAGCCAGTGTTGTGATGCTTTGAAGTCTTCAGGGGCTATGCAAACGGTGGTGCCATTGCAAAGGCAAATTCTTGAATCTGAGCTCTATTCACAACCAAAGCCTTTGCTCTCCTGTCAACAACTCATTCACAGATCAGGTCTTCCAGCTTGGAAAATGATGGTTGCTGACCTGATCCACACTTGTGCTTTTTAGCATTTCCCTTGTCCACTTGTTCAATGAAGTTACCATACTCTGCTTGTCATTTTTGGACCAATTGGATACTCAACATCTTCTGTTTGCAGAAAGCAGTAAGATTTTGGCCCCAAGAGTCTTCCACGATTCCTTTCTTGTACTCCATGGAGTAGCTTTTTCTTTTTGTGCTCATTTCTAGGGGTAAAAAAAGGAATTGGGGTATCAAGGTGGGGGGAGGGGGATCACTTAAAATGACACAGGGGATCAGAGGGGGGGAATCAAAATGGCACAGGTGAATCAGAGGGGGGAATTACCATTTTAGTAACCCCTTTTGATCCCCCTGTGTCATTTTGATTGCCCCCTCTGATCCTCCTGTGTCATTTTAAGTGATCCCCATCCCCCCACCCCTGTGCCACTGAACACCTTCACCAGACATCCCCCCTACCCCTTTATCAGACATTTACCCCCTGGGGCCTGCCTGGGGACTGTCACTGGGCTTTCTGGGGCCTGGATCTGGGCTGGAGCAGGATCTGCCACTGACTGAGAACCTTCAGTCATCATGAGGGCGGCCGCGAGCATCAAGTAGTGTCACCAGAGACAGACCAGCATTCACCACCTTCGCTGCGTCCCTGTTCGCTCTAATCCTCCTGTTCTTCTACACGCATCTGCGAAAGTCTCCTCCTCTCTCCTGCCCCACACTCACTGCTCACTCTGACCTCCGCTCCGCCTCTACACAGCAGTGACGTCAGGACTCCGCATAATGTCACTGGTTGCTAGACGCCAGTCAGGGCGGCCCTAGCGACCAGTTTATGGTAAATTAATTTTCATTCTGAGACAGAGCCTAGGGAAGGCCTTATTTTCAGGGGGGATGGCTTATATTTCACTCAGAAAGAAACCTATAAGTAGGTCTTATTTTCGGAGGAAGTTTTATTTTCGGTGAAACACGGCATTACATATTTACAAGTATAGTCTACATATTTAAATCCAAGAGTCACTGCTTGGAAAAAGTGTTCAGTGGATGATTACCATGTAATCACATAGCATCACAGGTGGTAACTGGTTCTTTGTTGCCTGGTATCATGTTCTGCAGCAGTTTTTTTTTTAAAATATATATTTTTGTTGATTTCAGAAAAGAAGGGAGAGGGAGAGAGAGATAGAAATATCAATGATGAAAGAGAATCATTGATCGGCTGCCTCCTGCACACCCTCTACTGATTATCAAGCCTGCAACCTGGGAACGTGCCCTTGGCTGAAATTGAATCTGGGACCCTTCAGTCCATAGGCAAATGCTCTATTCACTGAACCGAACCAGCTAGAGCTTTCTGCAGCAGTTTTAACATGTGCTGGCTGATGTTCCTATATGCATTAAGCCAAACCCCAGATGTGTGCATTTGTTTATTCCCAGTGACTGGTGAATGCACACATTTACTAGACTTATTTAGTATAAATTTAAAATTACTTTAATATATATAGAAGACTTTTCTGTGAAATTTAACTTTTTATACATACTTAATTGTAATTACACAAATATGTCTACATAAGTAAAATCAGGTAAACTAATTAGTTTGTCAATTTTTTAGCATATGCAGTTGGAAAATCTTTTCTGTGAAAGTTTTACTTTATTATATAATGGACCTTTGGCTTTAACACACATCGACTCGCCTGAATTAGCCTTTTATATTGAAATTTCACTGTGCATCTCTCTTCCTTTCTTATTTGCTTGCTCTCTTCTGTAATGTTGTTTTGAGATTCCTTTCTCTTTATTATTATTATTATTATTATTATTATTATTATTATACTAGAGGCCCAGTGCACGAAATTTGTGCATGGGGGCAGGGGGTGTCCCTCAGCCCAGCCTGCAGACTCTCCAATCTGGGACCCCTCAAGGGATGTCTGACTGCCTGTTTAGGCTGGATCCTGGTGGCCTAGATATCCCTCTCACAATACAGGACTGCTGGCTCCCAACTGCTTGCCTGCCTGCCTTCCTGATCACCCCTAACCACTCCTATGCCAGCCTGATTGATGTCTAACTGCTCCCCTGCCAGCCTGTTTGCCCCCATATTCCCTCTTCTGCTGGCCTGGTTACCCCTAACTGCCCTCCCCTGAAGGCTTGATTGCCCCTAACTGCCCTCTCTTGCAGGCCTGGTCCCTCCCAACTGCCCTCCCCTGCTGTCCATCTTGTGGAGGACAACTTGTGTCCATATGATGGCAGGATTTTTGACCATATTGGGGCAGCCATCTTGTGTGTTGGAGTGACAGTCAATTTGCATATTACTCTTTTATTAGATAGGATAAAGGCCTGGTGCATGGGTGGGGGCCAGCTGGTTTGACCTGAAGGGTGCCCCAGATCAGGGTGGAGGTTTCCTTGGGGTGTGGGATGGCCTGGGGGAAGGGCCTGTGGTGGTTTGCAGGCCAGCTATGCCCCTAGCAACCCAAGTGGAGACCCTGGTATCTGAAATTTATTTACCTTCTACAATTGAAACTTTGTAGCCTGGAATGGAGCCAAGCCTCCTGCTGGCTCAGTGGCCAGCAGCTATTTCTATTGGAATTTATTTACCTTCTATAATTTAAACTTTGTAGTCTTGAACAGAGGCCTGGGCTGGCCAGGGTGTGCAGAAAGCTTTGCTTCCTCCATTGCTGGGGGCAACCCTAGCCTGCTCTTTCTAGCTCCATGGCTGCTGCCATTTCCGTATGGATTTGTTTACCTTCTATAATTGAAACTTTGTAGCCTTGAGTGGAGGCTTAGGCCGTCAAGAGCAGGTGGAAAGCTTGGCTTCTTCCATTGCCTGGGAAACCCAAGCCTCCCTCCTGCTGTATGTGGCCTTAGCCATCTTGGTTGGGTTTATTTGCATACTTGCTCTGATGGCTGATGGGTGTGGCTTGTGGGTGTAGTAGAGTGATGGTTAATTCAAATATTACTCTTTTATTGGATAGGATTATTATTATTATTTTTATTTTTTTAAAATATATTTTATTGATTTTGTACAGAGAGGAAGAGAGAGAGATAGAGAGTTAGAAACATCGATGAGAGAGAGTCATCGACCAGCTGCGTCTTGCACACCCCCCACTGGGGATATGCCTGCAATCAAGGTACATGCCCTTGACCGGAATCGAACCCAGGTCCTTCAGTTCCCAAGCTGACGCTCTATCCATTGAGCCAAACCGGTTTCGGCTAGGATTATTATTTTTAAATCTTTATTTTTGAGAGTATTACAGATATCCTTCATTTCTCCCCCATTTCTCCCCCACCACACAGAACCCACCCTACCCAGGCCTTCCCCACTCTATTGCCTCTGTGCATGGGTAATGTATATATGCATATACTAGTAAGACTTTGAGTAATCTCTTCCCACCCTTACCCCCTTCCCTCTGAGATTCATCAGTCTGTTCCATGTTTCCATACCTATGGTTCCATTTAAATATATATTTCTTATTATTTTTTATTTTTTATTTTTTATTTTTATTGATTTCATAGAGGAAGGAAGAGGTTGAGAGAGGTAGAAACACAAATGATGAGAAAGAATCATTGATTGGCTGCCTCCTGCATTCCCCCTACTGGGAATGCAGCCCACAACCCAGGTATGTACCCTTGACTGGAATCAAACTGGGGTTTCTTTAGTCCACAGGCTGAGGTTCTATACTTTGAGCCAAAATGGCTGGGGTTGGTTCCATTTCTTTTCATCATTTGATTTTGTTCATTAGATTCCTGTTCATTTATTTTGATTATTAGATTCAATTGTTGATAGCTATGTATTTATTGCCATTTTATCGTTAATTTTAAAAAATATTTCTGCCCCCTTTTTTTTTTTTCTTAAAGAAGATCCTTTCATATAATACTTATTGGTTTGGTGGTGATGAACTCCTTTAGCCTCCAATGATATATGACCCCCAAGCATGTTGTGGAAACAGCAAAATCATTATATAAAACTTAGAGTGGTATGAAAGATACAGAGAAATCTGTATATCGTGAAGGCAACTTGAGAAATGAACAAGGGATAACTCAGTGACAATTTTCCTGGACTGATGACAGAGATCAGCTGGGCTGAGAGTCACACCAACAATATCATCAATTAAATCCCATTAGTTTTTTGAAGGACACAGAATGTATTATATAGTACTAGAGGCCCGATGCAAGAAATTCCTGCAAGAGTAGGCGTTCCTTCCCCCACCTGCTGGCACCGGCTTCCCTCTGGCACCCGAAACCCATGCTTCTCTCACAGCCCAGCTTAGTCCAGACTAATTATCATAGATTTGTTCTCTGAGAAATTATTTTATTATGATTATGTCAGGTCTAATTAGCATATTACACTTTTATTATTATAGATTTGTTCTCTGAGAAGTTATTTTATTATGATTACACCCAAAATGCACTTGCTTTATTTTGCAAATCACACTGCGTTTCCATTTCTGATGCCCCTTATTTCACTGCACTGGGACCATCAGGAAAGTGAAATAGGAAAAGAAGGAAGTATCCAAGGATTATCTTGTATCATGTATCATCTTGGGTCTTAGAACAGCAGAATACAGCGGATGCTGGAAACATAAAAGTGCAAAGTTAAAATGTTTGAATTGCTTCAGAAACAATGATTTTAGCAAAAGCAATTATGCACTATATCATGAGAGTCTACATTGCCTAACCATGTCCAAACTCAACTTCATCTTCACCTTAGTTCACCTATATGACATATCACCACACCACATGATTGGGGTATTTTTCGTATCACCATCTGGACCAGCCATGAATGAAAGCCCCCAGTTTTAGCACTGTTTCTTCTGGATGCATGGCGACAAAAACATTAAAACCCTCTGCTACAGCTTCTGATAAGCTTTGACTAGCTCTAGTACATAGTCCCGTGTCTAGTTAGGGAAGAAAAAATGGGTTCCCTTGGTTCCTTCCCTTTGGCAGTATATTTACTGCTTGTTTGTTCCTTTAATTTCATAAGAGATTCCTTGACTTTTCATTTCTGATTTAATGGCTGACATGCTAGGTCAAAACCAACAAGGTAGAGCAGTGTAAAATTTAAAAACATAGATTAAACTTATTTAAACATTGCTTTACAAATAAAGACTATAGATACAGTTGGAGAAGGAAGATGTGCTTGCAATCATAATGGGGAAATCAAAACATTCATCACAGGAGTATTGTCCCTTTATTGCTTATTGCTTGTTTTCCACTGTATCTTCAGCACTTAGAACACTCGTGGCATAGAGTGTTCCATCACTACATATGTTTTGACTGAGTAAATGAATGTATGAACACAATGAGTGAAAAAGTTATCCCTGAAGATGAGCTAGTTAAAGCAGACTGACCATTTGTCAGAAATAGCTAGAAAGGATTTGTGTCCTGGAGTCTAAACTTCTGCCTTTAAGATTCCTTGTAAGACTAGAAAAGTCAGCTCATTTATTCTAGATTATTTCTTTAACCAGAAACATAACACATAATTGACTAATGTGGGTTAGAATGTTTCATAGTGTTATACTAAATTCTTGAGCATTTCCTTGAAATAGGTTGATCTGGGTCTTTCCCAAAGAACGGCCTGAAGATAAAACTGTTTCTCATCTTGGAAGAAAATAGGGTGGAGCATATAAAAAATATCGAAGGTCCAAGTAGCCATTTCTTTCTAACAAAACCTCTTAGAAATACTTGAATAATGATTTTCTCTGAATTTAGTTCAGAATATGGAAGATTATCAAATAAAACACTCACACTTTTCCGGCATGGTACAACTCGAAAGCTTTGTGGATTTGGTCAAAAGGAAGTTGATGGGTTGCTAATAAATCGATATTAATTTTATTTTGCAGGTAACAAGTCACTAGTTGGGGAATACAGTCTCTGGTTTTATAATCTGCAAAACAAAAAAGCTATTGTAATAAGATTTGAGAAATACCAAATCAACAAAAAGGAAAAAAAAAGTCAAATGAATCATGGAGATAGGTAAAGTGTTTCTCTCAAAATTTACCATTGAACATAAAAAATAATTGATTTGTACATCAGAAGCCATTGACTTCTGCTGCTAATTGTGGCTTCCATAAACAGCTCTGTTACCTATAACTCTTTTGAAGAAAAATTGGGTCAATTGTTACATGCTACTGAGTGGAAAATGACCCTTTTCACTTACCAGGCTTCGACCCACCTTCTGGGATTACTGTTGCACAACCAATTTCTCCTCTCTTTATTTACACATATGGTGATGACTTTGGAACTTACCATCAGAAAATGGGAATGTTAATTTATTAAAGCTGTTGCATAGTGTTTCTCAGAAATCAGGGCTCTTCTGGGAAGGCAAAAATCAGTGCCAAAACACCAGGTTGGTGGATATAATTACCCAAAAGACATTGCTGTTAAAATAGCACAACAAACTGAAGCCACCAATGTAAAACCAAAGTTGGCTGAATTATTTCGAACACTGAAAAAAATGCCAAAACTATTTTGCATTAGATAATATTTTATTTAAATTTTTAAAAGTTGATTATTTAATAATCTAAAATTGATTTGCAAAATACACAAACCCATTGGAGGAGAAGTCTTTGGAGACTTCTACCATAATAGCTGCGTTTCTTCAAGGAGAGAAATTTTGAATTCCATGTTTCTACAAAGTTAAAAATGATTTCATGAGATCAACAAACTGGTTCCATCTATTCATCCACTTACCTCCTATACATACACCCTTCAATGTCCGTCCAGGGGCAATCTTTTGTGCTCCAAGACAAAGCTTTGTGTTTGGTGGAGCCAGCCCAACAATCAGACAGACACCATAGCTCAGGTTGCAGGAATCCCAAGCAGCAAGCTGACAACGATAATTATCAATATAAGTACATTCCTTTTTATAAATAGCAATTATCACCAGAGAGGGAAGGAATTATGAAGTTCCTCATTTCTAACCTCTTCCTGGGCAGATACTACTTCAGCTCAACTTCAACTTCAGCACTGCCAATGATGGGATCTCATTAGAGAACCGATAGAGTTTAATGGTAAAAGCACAGATTCGGCTATCTGTGTGACCTTTAGGTAAGTTACTTAAACTTCAAATGCCTCAACTTTTTTATTTGTAAAAAAAAAAAATACTATCTGCTTCATACAGTTATAAGAATTAAGTGATTTGTCATTCTTAAAACATTTAGAAGACTGTCTGGCAAATAGTAAGCACCATGTGTTTATTAAATAATATACCCACAGCCTCAAAGGCCATACACTGTATTATTTGTCTAGCCTTCTTACTTGCCATGACTTTCTGTCCAACTATTAAAACAGTAAAGAACAAACAAACAAACAAACAATCACACAAATGTGTTCATATTTTTAAATCTAAAAAGTCAATGTTCTAAAGATGCATAGTGTATTTCTTTATATCTACCCTGTTTCCCCGAAAATAAGACAGTGTTTTATAATAATTTTTTCTCCCAAAGTTGCACTAGGTCTTATTTTCAGGGGATGTCTTCTCTTTCCGTGCGCTAGTTAGAAGAATGTCTTATTTTCGGGGAAACATAGTATCTGTTTTTACTTCCTTTCTGGTTCTTAGCTCTGCTGTCTTCCCCCTTTTCCTCCATTTTCACTTATTTGTCTCTTTTCTATTGCCTATATTACTACTTCTACTTTATTCTTTGGCTAAGTACATTAGCTATATACTGAAATGTATTGAATGTCTATATTCCCCCTTCTAAAATGTAAGATCCAAGAGTGTGGTGCCAATTTTATTAACCCTTGTATCCCTAGAATGTAACACAGGTGCATAAAAGCTCATTTTTCCAAACGAATGGATAGTTCTGACATAGGACACACATAAATATCAGATGTGAATTAAATAACATATATCATTAAATATAAATACATATATGAAGAAAGAGCTAGGAATAAAGAAAATGGATATTGGTATTATAAGCCTTAACATGTTTAAACTTTGTATACTATAATGACATATCTTTAAGTATATAGGTATATTTTTATTTTCAAAACGAATTTACTGGAGTTACATTGGTTAACAAAATTATATAGGTTTTGAGTGTACAATTCTATAATACACCACCTGCATATTATATTGTGTTCACCATCCTAAGTCTAGTCTCCTCCTGTCACCATTTATTCACCCTTTAGCTTCTTCTATCTGCCAGCCCCTTTCCCTCTGATAATCACCATACTTTTGTTTGTGTTTATGAGAGTTCTGTTGCTGTTGTTAATCCTTCACCTATTTTACCCAACTCCCTTGCTCCACTCCTCTCTGAAGTCAGTTGGTCCTCTATCAATGAGTCTGTTTCTATTTTGTTTGTTTATAAAAATGAATGGTTTAAATTTATTTATTTTTTTCATTTAGAGTTCATAGTTCCAAAACATTATGTTCAGGAGATTTTCACTTATCTGCACGAGGATATTTAAGGCGTGTCCAGTGGGTAAACATCTACTCATTGTGCCCCAAGCCTACATACCATGGTATCAGGGAGTCCAACGGCCTCAAAGGCAAAGTCAACACCAAAGACTGTCATTTCCTTGATCACCTGCTGAACTGGCTTCTTGAGGTTCTGAGGGTTCAGACAATCAGTGACCCCTAAAGCTCTTGCCCGGGGAAATTTTTCCTCATTGATATCAACTCCGATGATTCTAGAAGCACCAGAGGCTTTGCAGCCCATGACAATGGCTGAGCCTATCCCTCCCAGTCCGAAGACCACACAGATAGAACCAGGGGTGACCTACAAAGTCACAAGACATGCTTGTATTAGGAATCAAACCTGGACGTCTGTGATTAAGAAAACAAACAAAAAAACCAAGTGATAAAAACAACCATTGAGACTTTAGGAACCCCAGTTGAAACATTGGTCTAGTTTTAATGTTTTCTAGGCAGATCACCATGACACATACTAATTACACAGGGGTCTTCCTCACCTTGGCTGAGTTAACAGCAGCCCCATAGCCTGTAGGTACCGAACAGCTCATGAGACAAATTTTATCCATAGGAGCAGCATCATCAATTTTTGCCACTGTAAACTCAGGCACAACGGTGTATTCAGTGAAGGTGCTTGTGCGAAAAGAGTGATAAATCTTTTTTCCTTTGCAGGTAAATCTGCTCGTCCCATCCATCAGTAATCCAGAACAAGGTAGAATACTAATCCACAGTGACACAGACACAGGCACAGGTACCGACATGAACATGAAGTTTAAATAGAAAAGTGAGCATCGTTAGCTACAGGCCAATGCTTGCACAATATAAAAATTTAGTAAAAGAGTGAAGGGTTAATCTACTAACTCTTGTTTCTCACAGAAGGTTCCCTTGACGTGCAAGCAGGAATTGCATTCTCTACACTGTGGAATAGCGATTGTGAGGACTTTATCTCCTATATTTAGGGGGAGAAAAGTGATCATTAGTTAAAATTATTATTGCAGAAGATATACCTTAATATATTTATAAAGATTTCATTGGATGACTTGAAAACTCAGTGTGGACAGATTACAGCAGCCCGTATAACATTTCCCATGGTTGTTTTTTCAGAAGAAACCACATAACCTGGTTTCAGAAATGCCATAATTCTTTTGGGTAAATAATGGAAATTTGGCGATATTCCCTTTTTGATAGAGAGTTGTTAGTTGCTTGCCACTTTTCTGGCAATAGAATAATGAAATCAGGACTGAACCTTAGAGACGTCGTCTAGTTTAATCCCTTTGAAAGATTTAAGTTCCAGAGTAGTTGTCCCCTGCATGAAGTGGCCTGGCTAGATAATGGCAGAACTCTCTTTACTGAGCCCCACTGCCCCCCATTCATGCTATTCATGTATAGGTCATCAACTATAATGCTATTGCTATCACATATATGAAATAAAATGCCCCTGATTATTATATCCACTCTCATATTATATTGTTATTAGGAGGCCTCCTCATAGTCTGCTCACACTGACCCATAGCAGACAGACCCTGACATGTTTTCTTTAGTGAGGCTAAGTTCCAAGACACGGTAACTTCAGAGAATAAAAGTAATCCCTCTTTCTGCTTCTGGAGCCCTTTCTATGGAGGGTGGCTTTTAAGTTGCAGAGTTGTGGGAAGAGTATTGATTACATTTGGATCCAGCCACTAGCCAGCCTTCCTGGACCCTAGAGTGTCAGACTAAGTAGGATCAGGGAAGAAAATTAACATGACCATCACAACTTACAAAGGCCTTGTCAGAGGTCTGCAATGTTGTTCCTATATTGGTCCTTACTAACTTTTACAGTGCAGAAACTACTCCCCTTTGGCCTCTTGCAAAGTTTAGTTGGCATTAAAAAAAATTGCTTGTAGGTTTAAATAAGGCAGTTCTCACCTCCACTGATCAAAGGTACTAAATCTCATATTCAGAAGTTCCTGCTCTCATCCTTTCTCTGCAAGAGCACATCATTTTCAATAAAACTTGCATCGGAATTTTTCTAGCTGAAGAGGAGTTACAGTATATATCCATCCTATTTGCAAAGGTGATGACTTTCTACTTTTGTCCCTCCTACTATAACTAGTGTCATATATAGGCTAGACATCCATACTTGATTGACAAATGAATACCGTCATGGCAGGTTCTGAATGTTCTGACTATGCACTTTCCTAACTCTTCGTATGTGTGGCTATAGGCTGAGAGTGTTTCTAGTATCTTAATCTGTGTGACTGCTTTTATTCATGCTGATCATTTTAGACATGATCAGAATAGGTATGCCAACATCCCTTTTGATTAGCCTGGGAAAGAGTGTATATTTGCTTTCTTTGACTCTGAAATAGCATTATCATCCTATTATTTAAAATTCAAGTTCTATTTGTCTATGTAAACCGGTGGTCTTGATCTGGCTAAAGAAACAAGTTCTTCTCATCTCAGAATCCCTTGCCTTTTATACACACAAATTGTCCTAAGGCGAGATAGATATACACATCAAAGGGTGGGGTTTCTTATACATAGACCATTGTCAGAATGGGGAATCACCTCCGGCTGTTCAGGTGTTTGGCCAGTAGGAGGCAATAACATGTAGATGAAGCAGTCCTGAACTGTCTGGCAGCAAGCAATGATTTTATGCATCCTTTTCAGGTTTGGGGAAATGTCTTTAGCCATTCCCAACAGGCGATAACATATGTGACTCAGCCCTTGTTGAGTCCCCATGTTCCATCAACCTTTCAATAAAACTCTTGCATGTATGACATGCTGGAATTGGCTTCTAGCAGCTATGAATATATTCTTGGCCCAACCATTGCCCCTGGATTGCTAGAAATGACAACAGGGAAACTGTGTGACTCATGGAATGACTAGATATATTTAATATCATGATATATGATTAGTTATAAGAACATAGAGGTAAACCAAGTTATTTCTTCTATAAATATGGTAATGCATTATAAATTTCTTCACTGTGTAAGGAGAGCTCTTTGGCAGGTTGTTCAGGGAAAGGCTTTTATGGCCCATTACCCACCTGGTTTCACTGAGCTCACTCCTGTGCCAATACTCTCCACAATACCAGCTCCTTCATGGCCTGGGATGAAAGGAAAAGGCATGGGGAGTATTCCTTTCAGTGCATGATCATCAGTACTACAGATTCCTGTAGATGTTAACTGCATAGGAATTAAGAGACAAAAGATTAATTGTTTTGTATTTTTTTCTTTCTTTTATCTGAGGCTAAATTTTTATATGAATTATTTCTTTGATATTTATAACAACTCTCAGAGGAACACAGGGCAGGCCTTATTACCCCAAACCTAGAAGTGAGGAAAGGGGGATTCAAAGATTTGGAATGACTAGTCCAAAGTCACATGGTGCATGTTAAGACTTGGAAATAAACCGAGGTTTTTAAAAAACTATTTGGTACATGTCATAAAAAGAGTTTTGAAATATGAAGGGCAATTACAATGAAGGACTTTTTGACCACATATCAATAACAACGTCTTTGAGGTGAAAAACTGAAAGCTTTTCCTTTAAGATCAGAAATAAGACAAGGATGCCCACCCTTGTCACTATTATTCAAAATAGTAGTAGAAGTCTTAGCCTGAGTAATCAGGCAAGAGAAAGATAAAAGTTTCCCAAATTTGGGAAAAAAAAAATAAAACTGTCACTATTTGCAGATAACATGATTATATATATTGAAAACCCCAAAGATTACAGGAAAAAACTATTATAAACAATACACAAATACAGTAATGTTGCAGGATACAAAATCAAGTTACAAAAATCCATTCATTTCTATATACTATTAATAAAAAATCAGTAAAGAAATGAAGAAAACAATCCATTTATTATTGCAGCCAAATGGTAAAATGCCTAGGAATAATTTTAGCAAAAGAAGTGAAGGTTCTATACATTGAAAACTATAAGACATTGTTAAAAGAAATTGAAGAAGACAAACAAAAAAGGAAAGATATTGTGTTCATGGATTGTAAGAATTAACATAGTTAAAATGATCATATTACCTAAAGCAATATACAGACTTAATGCAATCTTCATCAAAGTTTCAGTGGAATTTTTCAAATGAGTACCCTGTTTCCCTGAAAATAAGACAGTGTCTTATATTAATTTTTTCTCCCAAAGTTGCGGTAGGTTTTATTTTCAGGGGGATGTCTTATCTTTCCATGAGCTAGGTCTTATTTTCGGAGGATGTCTTATTTTCGGGGAAACATGGTAGTACAAAAACATCTTTGAATTTGTATGAAGTCACAAAAGCTCCTGAATAGCCAAAATAATCCTGAGAAATAGAGAGCAAAGTCAGAGGTATCATACTCCCTGACTTCAAATTATACTACAAAGCTACAACAATAAAAAAGTATGGCATTGGAAAAAAACAAGACCAATGGAACAGAATTAAGAGTCCAGAAATAAACCAACACATACATAGATAACTAATTTTTGACAAAGGAGCTGAAAACATACAATGGTCTAAGGAGTGCCTCTTCAATAAATGATGTTAGGAAAACTGAAAAGTCACATGTAAAGAAATGAAACTAGATTGCTATCTGAAACCATACACAAAACATAATTTAAAGATTTGAATATAAGACTTGAAACAATACAATACATAGAAGAAAACATGTGTGCTAAACTTATGAACCTTGGTCTCAGAGAGTCTTTTATGAACTTAACCAAAGAGGTAAGGGAAGTGGCACCAAAACTTAATGAAAGAGCCTACATCAAACTTAAAAGCTTTGCACAGCTAAAGAAACCATCAACAAAGTAAAAATCAACCAACCAAATGAGGGAAGATATTTGCAAATAATACCTCTTATAATAATATACAAACTGGCTACTTATGACCCTAGTAATCCCTTTTCTGGATATGTACCTTAAAAATCTGGAGACCTTATTTGTAATTATATATGTTCCCCTATGTTCACTGAAGCATTATTCACAATAGTGAAGACATGAAACCACCTAAGTGTCCCTTGATGGTTGACTGGAAAAAGAAGGTCTAGTACATATATTCAATGAAATAGTACTCAGCCATAAAAAAGATGAAATATTACCATTTGGAACAACATGGCTGGATCTTGAGAGTATCAAGCTAAGTAAAATTAGTCACATGGAAAAGGACAATAACCATAAGATTTGACACATAGGTAGGATACAAAACAGAGAGCAACACATGACCAAGCAAAACAAACAAACAAACTCATAGACACAAACACAGTATTGTAGTTACCATAGAGGGAGGGAGGTGGCAGGAGAATAAAGAAGGCGAATCATGGTGATGGAAGGAGATCTGACTTTGGGTGGTGAACAAACAATGCAATGTGGAGATTATGTATTATAGAATTGTACAATTGGAGCACATATAATGTTATTAACTAATGTTACCCCAGAAAATTTAACTTAAAAATAGCACTACTATTGGAAAACAACGAATTTTATGTCTAATATTGGGGAATACTTTGGGAAAATAGATTTTATAAAATTTTAAGTTTTACATTCAAAAATATTCTTTATGCTAATAGTGTAAAATTGGTTTAAGTTAAAGTAACTATTACAATATTTAACTAACATTGCTTTTAAGTCTTCTTGACTGTGAATAGATTCAATGCAATTTTATGAAATGATCATAAAAATGAGACATTTCATGCACCACAGCTTCTATGTTATTGCTTTGCCTAGTGGATGGCCAAAAAAGCATACTCCCAACCATACTGACTAGCTTTCCAGTACCTGTAGTGGGAAACACAGCATTTCT